TTTGAGGTGGGGAAGCAGGGGGTACCTAGCTCCCCGCACTGACCTAGGGCCCTCTCTAGGTGGCCCCGAGCCCAATGTAGGTGAGGCCAGGAGGCCCTGCTCGAGAGGGGAGAGTGGACGAGTCTGTCCACCTTTGGTCCTCCGTTCTTAGAGGCCCTGTGTGTTGCACCCGGAGGAACAAGTCACACTGCCTCCAGTGACAGTAGCAGGACATGGACCCACAGGAGGGTGACCCAGGTAGCAGCCTGTACTTTGCCCACCCGGGAGGCTGCACTGTCACCTCAGTGTGCTGGCCCGTGTCGTGGCTCATCCTGATGAGATGACCCTGCTTTCTGCCATGAGATGTCCGTCCCAGGCCCCCAGGGGGCCTGTCACGTGAGGGCTGCTGGCTTGGTCCCCGCCCTGCTGACTCTGGGGCTGAGTTACCTCTGATCACTACCGAATAGAAACCAGGCAGGTGCCATCGTCCCTCAGGAAGTCCACCACTTGGGGATTGAAGATGAATAAAAACGGGATATTCGAGGCAGGCAACCGAGCAAACGGCTGCAGGGGGAGGAGGCTGCCAAGGCCACCGGGACACGCTTCTCCCTGCCCTCTCCCCTCGCTCCCAGGTTCTGGCGTCAGATGGGAGGTCACCTACGGGTGGTGGAAGCCAACGGCCAGGGTGTGGTGTGGGGCATCGGCTACGACCACACGGCCTGGGTCTACACGGGCGGCGGCAGCTGCTTCCAAGGTGAGGGTGGCCAGCTCCCCGGGCCTTCCCGGCCCGTCCCCTCCCCGCCTATCTGGCTTCCCCACCCCACACCGGAGCCACTGTCCCGGTGTTGACTCTCCGCTGGCAGCTGGCTGACGGGTGACCTTCACCATGGCCACCAGCTTCCACAAAGGATGGTCCCGTGGCCAACCCATGAGGTGTGAGAGCTGAAGACCAGACCTTGCCTCGGTCCTGCACCCACAGTTGAGCCGGGGTCCTTAAAGGTTCTAGAAAGGCAGCTACCTTCACCCCTCATTTCACAGACGAGGCCTCAGGGTACACTGGGGGCAGCCCTGGGGCCTGGGTCTCAGAATTCTAGCCCCTGAATGGGTGGGTCGTGCCTTAGGGCATGAGAGCTTGCTGAACTCCTATTGCCCGCCCCCACCCCAGTTCTGGGAAGCAAGGGCCTTGTGTCTGGTTCTGGGAGACGAGGCGGGAAGCAAACCCTCAGGTGGAAAATTCCATGCCACAGCCCGCATGCCCTGCAGTGAGGGGTGGCCAGTCCCGTAGAAGCAGCTGTGGTCCACTGAGACCACAGGAGTTTCACATTCCCAGGCTTAACAGCACCCTGATTTGTGAGGCAGAAATTAACGTTTGTCCCCATTTTTACAAATGAGGAAATTGGGGTTCGCAGACATTATGTGAGTCTTAGTAAAGAAGGAGCTGGTGGGGCCCCCCACCTGCCTGGTGCCTGGTTAAGTGGGAAGACAGGGAGAGAAGGGGGGGACCAAGACCAGAGCTAGAAGGTGGCATGGACGGGAGGTTGAGTGCGCCTCACGTTGTTCTCCTGGAGGGTGTACAGCCCAGAAAAATCATGGGGAGAGAAACCCAGGCCAGCCCCTGGGACATCCGCTCCGCAGCCCGGTGAGCCCCTCTCTGCTGGCCCTCCCCGTCCTTCCTCTGCCCCTTTCAGTGCTTCTGACGGAAGCCTGAGTCCCCATCCGTCAGCCTCCTCTCCCCCCAGGCCTGGCCAGCAGCACCAGCAACATCTACACACAGTCAGACGTGAAATGCGTCTACATCTACGAGAACCAGCGCTGGAACCCCGTCACCGGCTACTCCAGCAGGTAAGCCTCAGCCACAGTCTCGGCGGGAACGTAAAGACGGTGATGGCCCCACCGATCAATACCCAAGGGCGACCCAGCTCATCTACCCTCCGCCCAGCCTCGGACAGGTAGATCGTGCGTGACCTCACGGTGTTGTACAAGCGGCTCGAGGGATTTCCTTGTGTGTAAATACTTGGGAGTTTCTCTGTCCACCCCAGCAAACCGGGGCGTGAGCTTTTTCTAAGGCAGTTGATACCCGTGGCCCAAATACGTCCTGGAAACCTCCGCATGGGCTGTGGGTAGCATCCACCCTTCCTCCTCGGTCCTTAGGAAGCGGGACGGGGCGGCACCAT